TTTTACTACTGTATTATAACTTAGCTTTCTTAAGTATATTTACGTCCGATCGAAGCAGCGACGTCAATAAAATTTAAGTTACTCACCATCACGCATCTGCGTCTCGGAAACTTCAGGATAGAAACAGACGCAAAACTTCACAAGCAACCGAACCAAGCGACAAAGTTTCGAAACCAGCGAAACCACGACCTGTCGCTTTATTTTGGCCGACGCCACGAAGAGAAGAACGTCGCAGCACATGTGGAAGCACAAACGTTCATCGTTAAAAGGTGATTCTCTTAGTCGTCCAAACAACTTCTGTAAATAATTTACAGATGAAGCAATCAACAGAGAGAAGATGCAGATGAAATCTACCATTTAATACCAAATTTAGGTATTCATTATCTTTAAGTTTCAGAGTTTTCAACTTAAAATACTTTGCCTACTGTTCTCCCTGAATGGCGGGCCTATTAGTTGATAGGGTAAAAAGTATCGCCCTATTCAATACATGTACAGTGAATTGAAAACTGAAAAAACTCTAGAATGCTCAAACCAGAATAACATTCTGCTCATCGATCTACTGTTGGTTATTCTGTTTTTTTTAATAAGCGCACATCACTACGGATGTTCATAATTCAAAAAAAATAGAAATAGCTTGAAATTTGACTCTCCTCCTCAAAACAGCCTCAAATATTTAACCCTTTGGGCGAATAAACTACGGCTTTCAGTTCACTCTTCATTTACAGTCAGTAAAATTCAAAGTGATTTGCTCAAACTGTCCAAGGAGGCAACAAGCATGGTCCTCAATGGTTCACAAAATCACATCGAAACTGCAATTTGCATAGTCTCCAAGATTAGATTCTTCTTCCTTAACAGGCAAGATTAGATGGTCCATCGCCTTTAAAAACGGCGATTTAGTTCCGCATATAACGGTCACTACTATTTTGTGTTGTTCATCAAGTATCACACGATAAATGAACGTATGAGCGCCTATGCGTCTCACTACACCAAGTATGTATTTACGTACGTACGTATGTATGTATGTATGTACAATAACATTAAGTCACTGAAAGTGACAACTATGACAACAACTTTAGACCGACAAGTCAATAGCTGACAAAATGAAAAGATGCTGCAGGTCAGCTAAAACGTTTGTCGCAAACCTGGCGAGCATCTCTGACAAAGGATTTTGAGGTAGATCATATAATTCGACTATATTCTGTTTAAACTGTGAAGTTTCGACAAAGATTTGGTTTTCAAGAACTATCTTCTCAAACTCCCTCTTAATGTTAGTGCTACATCCAGGAATGGAAAGACGCATAGCCTTCAAGAAAGCGGACTCTTTCTGATCTGCTGAGAGCCGTGTCGAACTACAGGTCTTAGGTAATGATGAAGCCTATACAGACTTGCAAACCTCATTGATGTGTGCTAAATCCACTTCAGACGATAATCGATCGCTACATCTAGATAATTAATCTGTAACCCCTCTATGCTGAAAGAAACAGAGTCCGTGTCCTGGAGTTCTGATCCTTCAAGGCTGCAACAGCCTTTGCATCTGAAATAAACGAGAATTCGATTATTCTGTTTACGGTAACAATGGGCACTGTCCACCAGTTAACAAAGTTCGACAGCGGAAGGTACGCCAGATGAACCAGCAATGTCGTCTGTGCTGTTCATGCAAATAGTAGGCAACACGAGAGGGCATTCGCTGGTGTAGGGCACGAGAGGATAGGAAAGAAGCGCTCGATTTTTGTGGTATTTGAAGTTTAAGTCAGAAAGTCTGCTTTGACACCCTTCGTCCGAACGAACCTATTGCTCTATCTTAAAATAAGAAGCCAAGTATGGGTATCATTCGTGGATCTGATTTATAGTTGGCAAATGACCACGAGCGACCGCGTTGTACGCATATCTAATAAAAAAGTGCACACGATAGCACTGCCCATATCTACATACTGTACTCTGTGTTCAGTAAGTGTCATAATGGCACTCAAATCTCAAATAAGTCAGGAGTACCAAAAGCCATTTCCAGCCTCATACGTTTTTGGATTAAAACGAGGCCCTTGTTTGCTGAGAACATCACTTTAAGACGTATGCATAGGCAGAAATATTTTATTTGCGACGTCCGCCGCATTCTCAGCGTTTTAACACTTTGTCATAAGGAATCGGTTACTGCGTCATACAAGCAGCAGCTCTTCTCAGGACGCACATTTGTATTTACCTTGTTCGTTCATGTTGCAAGCTGGACTCTTGGCCGATATTTGCCGTGTTCGGGTTCTCACACGAGAAGCTCAAGAGCTGGAGTAAAGCGTCCATGCCCACCGATTTGTCAAGCAGGAGGAAGGCCGTTTTTGTAATTTAAGTATCAACGGAGAACACGTGTGCCAATAAGAGAACAGAATAATTTCTTGCGTGGTCCTCCCACTTAATTATCATTCTGCGTCGAAGCCAGCGCTGCTGGGTGCAATTCCACTGTCGTCATTTGTCTTCCGTCAGAACAATGACCCTGTCGACCGAACATTCTCACTGTTTAAAAAGCAGTACGAACGAACAGAAAACGTTACAGATTCAGTACATAGATATAGCTACCATACAAAGCGAATGTCATAAGCCATTTAGAGGAATGGCAACTTGTACAAATTTCGGCAACGTATTTACACCGTTTCTCGGCAATTCAAGATTCGGCAGCATACCATCTTCTCCCCATATCTGATATCACTTAGTAAGCATCATTCAGACACTGCGTCAGTCTAATTTATAAGACTGTATCAACAATTCAGAGAGTAATGCTGATGTCTCTTTCGTCCTTCTTCTAAACAGTACTGTCTCGAAACGTAATAAAAGCTCTTCTATCATTTGCCGACCGCTTCGGAATTCACGATAGGATTTTCGATTCAATGTCGCAGCTCATTACACTACGCCGTAATTCGCCACGTTATGCAATCTCGTACTTTGATTGTTGCCCTCTCGTCGCAACGCGAAAGACTATGTTTGATGTATGTCTGTTTCCCGTGATTAAAATTAGTTTCTGCTACCTACTGTCGAGCACCTGTCAGACAATCAACGTGTAACTCGTTTCTAAATGTCATAACTGCGTGGAAGCCACTAAAACATGTCAGAACAAGAACACGTTGTTCATTCATC